TACGTGTATGAATTTCTCAGTGAACACAATGTTCTATCAAAGCATCAGCATGGCTTCAGAAGGGGGTTATCTACTGTTACCCAGTTAGTTACAACTGTCCATGAGTTTGCACGTGTGCTTGATGTTTCTGGGCAAACTGATGTACACTGTAAACAAAAGTTAGCCGAAATGGGAGTTTCTCCAGCACATGAGCCCACAAAACTCCCCTGCCCCAATTATTTACTCCCTGGTAGGGAGTGAACTCGGCACATGTCATCGTAAAACGCCCCCGCCTTAATCACAGAGTTCATGAACGACATGACCTTGTTAAACTCCCCAGGGAGTTTCAGGTCACGTGGTTACAAACTCCCTATAGGAGCTTTAAAAACCCTCTTTGGGCGTGACGTGTGTGTGTGTGTGTGTGTGTGCGTGTGCGTGTGTGTGTGTGTATGTGTCTGTACGGGCATATGTTTGCACGTTGGTGTGAAACACATGTGATTTGTGTGGCTAACCGTGTAAGCATCTGTCAACAGGCAACGAAATTATAAGTGCAGCGAAGAATAGCAACGACCGGTTGGTATTTACTGGGAACATTTCAATATATTTCGCACCTTAAACCACGCTGCACATCGGTCCGATTCCTCAACGAAACGTCCTGAATGCCACGCTTCAAAGGGCCGAGTAACAAAAAACTTCGAAGAATAAATTAATGGTAGCAAAAGTAAGATGTTACGATCGTCAGCGGCTGCTCCTGGAGTTTCACCATCAGAAACTTCGAAGTGGTCTGAAGTAGGCTTCGCTCGACTACGGCAGGCTGGCCGGCAACCGGTCTGAGAGTTGCGCCGGCGACGCGCTCGCCCCGTCTCCTCCGATAGTGGCTTCTCGGAGTGTCACCGGTATTTCACCGGCTGCAACATCTAAGCGGTAGGAAGGCCTCGCTATGGCGTCGGTATCAAGCCGGCATCGTATCGAGCTCGCACTGCGCACCGGCCGCCGTGGCGAGCTCTGCGAGCTATACATGCAATGCATGCGAGCAACGGGAACAGCGACTGCGAACCGTCTCATTCGTTTAAGTCTATCGCTCCGTAGATTAAACTGCGTGGATAGCGGACACCTATTTCTGTGCATGGGAAAAACGAGACGTAAACTGCACATCAGCAAGCATTTTGTGATCGCCAGCCGTCATTCATCGAATCACCGTGCCGTACTCGTGAGTGAGGCCTAGTCGTCGAAAGCGGTAGCGGCGGTCTACTTCGGTTCATCGCTGGAGCTGCTGAATGTGCCTCGTTAATGTGTTCATTCAAGGCCGCGCGCACTTTGTGTATGATTCAGTGCATTTTACGGGTCCACAAACAGCACTGCTGATGCGAATTCAGCCTGTACGACAGAGCGTCAACTGATAAAACTTTTTCGTTATAGTAAAAAAATATTAAATATTAGGCAGGATTAGGATAAAAGGCATGTGTGTTGAAGTGGTTACATCAGACCACCGCAAGTTCATACTTACGCCGTGCGTATTTATTGCTTAATTATTAGAAACAAAAGGCTTTAACCTGGGCTACAGGAGGTCAGAATGTGGTGCCTATATATACTCGGTGACTATATGGTAGGTGTGTACTGCGTGTGGCAAGCTGTGGTGAGTGCGAGTGTTGTGATATTACGTGAACGTTGTGATAATGTTTGTGTACTGTAATCATTGTTGTGCGTATTAAATGTAATGTAATTAAAGTTACGCTTGCGCATGGTACGGCTGCTGACGTAATTTTTTTTCTCGGTCGATGCAAAAAATTTACTCCCATACTGACCTGAAAAAGTTCCCCTATGGATGTAAATAAAAACCCCCCTGACACCATGCGAAAACCCCCTTCTGATGGGGAGTAAATTTTTTACTCCCAGAGACGGGTTTTTTAAAACTCCCATCTGGGTGTGCGCTAGAGGACAAGGTCATTTACTCCCATTTCGGCTTATTTCTGTTTACAGTGTACTGTTTTTAGATCTTTGTAAAGCCTTCGATAAAGTGCCACACGGGAAATTGTTACACAAATTACAGCGTATTGGACTACCTACAAAAATTGTTCTGTGGATTCAGGCTTACCTTCAAGATAGACGTCAGTATGTAGTGATTGGTAATTCTTCATCGACTGTTCTTCGTGTGTCCTCTGGAGTCCCACAGGGAAGCGTGCTAGGGCCACTTTTGTTTTTAATTTATGTTAATGATTTAGCTTCTCTTATTCCTGAAAATGTGTCTGTGCGTTTGTTCGCGGATGATTGCGTCATTTTTAAGCAAATTTCCTCACCGTGTGATCATGTGGCTTTACAAGATGCACTTATCGCTATCGATAACTGGTGTCAGAACGGGGGCATGCAGTTAAACACTAACAAAACTGTGCTTCTGCGCATCACCAGGAAGCTAAGTCCTAGTCAATTCCACTATACTCTAAGAGGCACTAACATAAATAATGTAGACAAATATAAGTACTTGGGCGTCACACTCTCAAGCAAATTAACTTGGTCGACCCACATAACTGACATTACCACTTCTGCATTACGTAAGCTATGGTTTCTAAAAAGAAAACTAGCATCTGCACCCTCGCGTACTAAAATTCTAGCCTATAATGCCTGTGTTCGTTCTAAGCTTGAGTATGCTTCTATTATCTGGGATCCGCATACCAAGAAAGATATTATGAATCTGGAACGTATTAACAGAAAGGCTGTAAGGTTTATTTTTGGCAAATATCGTAGGTTTGATTCCCCGACCACCTTAATGCAATTAAACGACATTTCTACTTTAGAAGCTCGGAGAAAGTTAAGTCGTCTTTCCTTTCTTTACAATTGTTTGTGTGGTATTGTAAAAATTGATCTCCCTGACTGTGTTAAACCGCTCTCAGTACGACGTACTCGTCATGGTCATGAACATGCTCTAACCCCAATTTTTGCCCGATCAAATGCTTTTAAATATAGTTTTTTTCCTAGAACTGTCGATGACTGGAATTGTTTGCCGTGTGACATCTTTCATTCTAATAAGTTTCTTGGTGACCTTGAGCGTCACCTTCTTTCTTAACCTTTTTTTTTCTCTTTTGCATTGTTGTCTGTTGTTTTCTACAATTACGTTTTGATGTATCCACTCCTGCTTGGGCCAGCACATTGGCCTGCAGTATTGTGAAATAAATAAAGAAAGCCCGCGAATGTGAAGACACTGTCGGGAACGTTCTTGAGCATTGGTTAGAATGGCTGATCCATCGACGATAAGTGCTTGTTGAATCCAACTAGTGCTCAGTCGAATGCTGTGCGGCTGGTTACCGAGTGTTGAATAAGTTAGGACTTGTGTTGGCTATCTTTCACAGCAGGAACGCAGCCTTTATTCAATTTCGATCAATCAATTCAGTTGTTCACCTACTATACGTTTCATTCGCTTACGAAAAGCGACGTCAAGACGTCACCGTGTTATTTCCCGCCGCGCTGGGTGTTTCACACGTGCAAACACTCTTTCCTGTGCACCGGCTTCTTTGCTGGTTGCGAAGTGATGTGGTTATTATAGACGCACATAGTACGCACACCTGACCTTGGTTTTCAGGTGTTCGTAAAACCCGAGAAGCGTAGGCAGGGCAGGCACGTGGTGGTGGCACTCTTATAAGGTGGCTCTTGTTTTCCCCACCCACGTTTCTGACGCAGCGGTGGCTCAGTTGCGCGCGTGATTAACGGTTATTGGGCAAAAGTGTGTACGACACCTTTACGTACCTGGAAGCTGTGCATTTCGCGTTGTTTTCTATTGCTGTATGCTCGCATTGACTAACAACATAGTTTTCAAACAGGCTAACGGTGGCCGGTGCACGCTTCCTGGACTACACATAGCGTAATTACTTACACAATGGCAGCAATGGTTAGCACTGGCCTAATGTCGGCTTGATTAGACCATTTGATGACTGATATAGGCTAACATTCGCATAACATGACTGAAGTGCTAATGCGGATTATAGACTTTTACACCGTCCGCGTTTTTTTCTTTAATTGAATGTTAGCCCTGCGATTGCTGCTTTCAAATATGGGCTGGAAAGCTATTTGGTGTTTGTACAGTCTTCGTCCAGGCCCCTGTTCGTTTTCTTAGCGCCACAGTTTCCGCAGAAGGTGGTGCATTGTTTCGGAGAAAGACGATGAACAAAAATGGCATCCGCAGGGGACGCGTTGTTGTTCGACCTTAGTTTATGAAGGAAATTGTGTATTGAAGGGCTCGTTCTTTGTGTTGTACACAATATTTCAGAAAGAACTGTGGGTTTCAAGTTATCTTTGGGTTCATTTTTCTTTATTCAAATTTACACTACGATTGCTTCTGATACCATCCCCTATGCCTTCTTGGGTGTTATTGTCTGTAAGCTCTCAATATTACCCTATGTTCTGGTCTTTTTGCACATCATCTTTCTTTGAAGCTCTAATGGGAATCGGTAACTACCTCAGTTAGCCTCAGCTGGTCCCGAATGAACTTGATCATTCTTAAATGATACGCCCACGTCCCGCTATAGTGCTGTAGGTAAAGGCGGGGGCTTGCCCCGCCGCGGTGGTCTAGTGGCTAAGGTACTCGGCTGCTGACCCGCAGGGCGCGGGTTCGAATCCCGGCTGCGGCGGCTGCATTTCCGATGGAGGCGGAAATGTTGTAGGCCCGTGTGCTCAGATTTGGGTGCACGTTAAAGAACCCCAGGTGGTCTAAATTTCCGGAGCCCTCCACTACGGCGTCTCTCATAATCATATAGTGGTTTTGGGACGTTAAACCCCACATATCAATCAATCAAAGGCGGGGGCTTCATTTACGCTTAGTTCTCAATATTACCCTATTTTATGTCTTTTTTTGCAAATCGTATTTTTTTAAGCTCGAATGGGCGTTTGTAACTACTTCAGTTCGCCTCAGGTGGTTCGAACTGAAGTTGTTCACTCTCAAAGGATGCGCCCACGTCCCTCTTGTAGTGCTCTATAGATGGGGGCTCGGGCTTGCGCAAGGCGTTTCTGAGAGTGGGTCTCTGCTGTTGCAGACAAGTCCCAGCTTGACGACACGCTGAGGGTGAACGGCAAGGGAAAGAAGATGCGCAAGCCCCGCACCATCTACTCTAGCCTCCAGCTTCAGCAGCTCAACAGGAGGTTCCAGCGGACCCAGTACCTCGCCCTGCCAGAGCGCGCCGAGCTCGCCGCCTCCCTGGGACTCACGCAGACGCAGGTAAGACGCCATCCTCACGCATCCTGGTTGAGCGCCCGTATACACGTGTAAGAAGGGGTGCCGCACGTATACGCATAACATGCACGTACAGGGGTTGTGGTGAAAAAATTCGGAGTTCATACGTGGCCCGGGGTCACGTAGATTTAGTTGGACTTTGACATAGTGGGCAATCTTCGGCGCATTACATTGAGCAGATTTTAGAAAAGACTTTGGGGCCTTCTGAATTTAGAGTTGGGATATGAAGAAGTTGGCAACGATGATTATGAGAAGAAGAGGAGGAAGACGACTTGGTAAAAAGATTTGATATAAAACGGTCTTCCGCCTTTCTGTAGCTATTAAAATTAATACATCAATTAATTACGCGAGTCCGTTACAACTCACAGCCTGTGATTTTTTTTTAAAGGCGAGATTTTCCTTCACTAAATAGCTTCTCGGATTTCCGGTCCCATCGTGGGTGGAGCCACCGACTTGATATAAGGGGGAGGGGAATATCGCGCCCCCAACATCTGTCTCTCCTCAGGACTTGAATGAAGTTCGTCATGTCATGTCATCTTCCTTCGCCGCGAGTTCTTTCTGCACAAGGCGAGACACCCGAACCGTCGCTTGGCCATAGCCAAAGGAGAAGAAGGAATCGCGTTATTTAGAATCTACAAAGATGTCAGCATCTTCGAAACGTTCGTGTAGATGTGAAACAGCAGCCAGGCACAAAGGACTGAAGCAGCAAGAAGTAACAAGGCATTGTCAAAAACCAAGCTACACAAATCTTTCGGATTTCCTGACAAGGCTGTCGGCGTCGATAGGGTGGCCCTCAAGAGGGTACTACTTCGGATACGTAGAGGTCGAGAAACAAAAATTGAAAATAAGGAATAGATCCGGCGGTTGTAAACATGGCTTCTGCCGAACCCCTTTGAACTCTCGCCGAACGCCTCCGTGCGCCGCAGTATAAATACGGGCCCACAAAGAGTGGGTTTAGCTTAGGACCTCCTCCGGCGCGGCTAGGCAGTGCTCACGGTGCTCACGACGCCGGAGGATAATGGTGATGAGGGCGATGACGATGGTGGCCACGATACTTGACTTCCAAGCCGTTCGCGTGCTAGCGCGCCACCTGTAGTGATCTCAGAAAAGGCGTACAAGAAAGGTCGAAAGAGAAGAGTCTGCCTTCCGAATATTTGTTCTCTTTTGTGATGCAGCAAAGATGAAAGCGAATGGCTTTCGATGCGCCCGCTTTGTCTCGGACACCGTGGACGTTTAGCCCCCCCCCCCCTTTTTTTTTGAAACGTTTTGTTCGTTTGTCTGTAAGATGAGAAAGAAGAAAAGATCAACGCCGCCACATGGTCTAGGTGGCGCGAGCTGGATGGCGAGGCATATAGAAGTGGCCGTCGGCGAGTTCTTTTTTACCTTTCCTAGACTGAGTAATGGGCCTTGTTTCTGGGTAGAGCGCCTCCTATGCCGCCATGGCCGCTGGGCCACCCCTTGTCTCTCTCTCATCGTCGTCGACAGCCTGTTCCGCGCACCGACGCCTCCCGGCGGCGTTTTTCTGCAACCAGAGCGGAAAAGACTTCCTAATGTAGTACCGGCCGTGTGTTTTGTCGCTCCGTTCCTTGCTCCCAGAGCGGCTGCCTGGCAGTCGGCCGGGTCTCTTTTGTTCCGTTTGTTATTTCGTTTCTGACGTTGGCTTTTGTTGGCTTTCGTTAACTTTTTTGGGGGGCTCCCGGGATTACGTGGATACACGCCTAGGCACTGTGTACGTTCCGCCACTCCTATTCTTTCTTGCTCGAGCCGGTGATGTCGACGGCGATAAGACTGTGTTAGAAGGAGGGCATGCTGTTTTGGCCGGCCAGAATTAGACTTTGCCAAGTTGTCCCGCTGGATTTTCTGGGTGACGCGAATTGGGTGTATGCACGCAGATTACTTGGCCGTCATAAAGGTACCGGACGGGGCCCCTTGGTTCACACAGTTATGGATCGATTACGTAAATGCTCGTGCATGTGCCGACGTCCCAACATCCGCTTGGTTTTTATGTGCGATTTAATTTTCCGCGATTCTCGCTTAATTCTTCCAGTGCAATAAAAAGAACACACGGTCTGTATTTACGGCACTATGACGCTGCATTACGTCGAGCTCTGTCGAAGACAACTGTAGCGAAAATTACCGCTTTGCTGAAATTATCCGTTATGACATGAGCCGCTTGTGTGGACGGTCGTGTTTTAGGTTTCGAGTTTGATCGATGTACATTGGTACTTCAAGGCAACAACTGAGACTCGATTTCAATGTTTGCCAGTCTAACCACCTCTAAAGCGCAAAACTGGACGAGTTCACGCCGATTCATAACATATTTGCGGAGCGCGAACCACAGGCTATGACGCAGGTCGGCGAAGGAGACGAGCAGTTGTGGCGTTGCGATTTTCTGTTGTGTGTTTTGGGCCCTCATGCTCCGATGACGTTACGTAACCACCTTCATTCCAGTACGCGAGTGCTTAAAATGTTACAGGCTTGGCCTGCCATAAGACAATCAAAATAACGGCGCCTCTATTGCACGTATCGACTATAGTTCCCATGTATGCGTCAACTTTCTTTGAAACAGAGTAGCCTTCGCATCGCTGCACTTGCTATTAATGAATAAGATATATAACGCCACACAATACCCCTTCTATTGGCTTGCATGGGCTCGATCTATCTGCAGCGTCGCGTAGCTGACACGAAATCCGACGCCCACTAGCAGCGGCATTGGCGCCGTTCCGCACCATAGGACTCGAAGAGTCTAGCTACTTCGTTGTCCGTCTTCCTATGTGTTGCCTTTTTTTTCGCGTTAGTTTCTTGGGCTTTCACTTTTTTCTTTTGTCCTGTCTGTTCATTGGCAGGTTGCGCGGTGCCGTTCGGCGGCCTCTTGACGTTGCAGTTCTTGCGTATCCGCCTGGCGTAGACAACAGCGCTGTAGGGCTTGGTGGATCAAGAGTGCGGCGAATGAAAATAGAAAGGACAAAAGGAGGGGAAAACTAAAATGAAACGAGCTATAAAGAAAAAAAAAGCCGGAGAGAGCGCGCTGAGCTGCAGGGGCGGCTGGAGATCTTCCAAACACGCCCCTGACGTCGGTCGCTCGGTTCCGAGACAGCAGAATTCACGGACGGACGCGCGCGTGCGCCTTGCAACGACGGTGCGAACCGCCTCTCCACCGGCGGTGCCGATCACGCTCGGCGGCCAAACCGCCGAGGGCCAACACACCACCGTGTGCGTGCCCGAAGAGATGCCGGCGGCAGCACCAGCGTGCCCCGGACGGCTGAAGGCTGACCGCCAGGCCGGCCCTGCGTTGTTGTGCCCTTATACATCCGTATGCGCGCGGCCAGTGCGTTCTCTGGCTTTCTCTCTGGTAGTCCTAGAGAGAGAGTTCCGATATAGGGGCGCGTTGCCAAAGAGTCTCGAGGTTGGACTGCAGAAGTCCCAATACTGGCAGGATTCAGTGTGTCTGGACGTGCTCATCAATATAGGTGGTTCGCTCTGAAGTGGGAGACGGCGCGTGACTGATTTGGCGCCCATTGCGGTGTGCGAACAAGCAGAATCCAACTACTAACGCCAAGTAAAGTCTAAAAGACAAGCAGGCCTCCCGGCTGCTTATAGTTTATAGTTTATAGGACACTGCGTTGAATCGTGCTTGCACTCCTGGTCCTCGGCTTACTCGTGTCTTTTGTTTTACACGTGCCCTCATAGTCACGTGCGTGGGACTTCTACTGCCACAGGCATCTTCAGTTTCACGGTGTCTCCTGTTGCATTCACGCATCTATAGAAAGGTTCCTATGTAACTATTCAGATGCGCTGTTACCTCCAAGTACTCGTCTCTTCTGATGCACAGGCGTCTTCCGCCGTGCGCGCACACATTCATACACGCACGCGTCTTCTGCGTAACATTTTTGTGCTTATCACGTCACCATTCTACGAATAAGCACAGATATCGAAGATAAATCTTGTGAGACACTTCAGCGCAGTCAGCGGCATCACGTGCAATATTCCTGCATTTGTGCATGCCACAACGACGAAACAGCACTGAGGGTTTCGCTACCCGAAAAGATACTATGCGAATGAGCCAAAGTTGCCAATTTTATGACAATTTTTTTCCAGTAGACACTTTCCCGAAGTGTCTTTGAAAAGAGGAAAAATGAAGAAATAAGCGCATTTCCGTTACTGCCTCTCTCGATGAGGGCACCTCCGCAGCTCAGGCTCCTCGAAGTTATTGCAGGCATCTGCTGGTATTGCAGGTATGTGCGCGCCAAGGCATTCACTGCTTGCCAGCTTCCGCCACCGGAAGACGTCGTTTCTCTATCCGACGGCCGCGAAGCCGGATTGTTTCCAACTCGCTAGCCGGCTTTATGTGCGATCATCCGTCGCCGGAGGCATTCGCGTGAGGCTGTAGCTCCTTGCGCGGTGGCGACCATAAGACGTGGCCTACATACGGCGCTGGGCCTGTATACGTCAGCTCCTGCTTCACACAAGACACCCCTCCTCATGCACAAACACGCCACCCTCCCCTTAGGGCATGCAACAGGCCTACAGACGATGCCACGTCTGTAGACGGATCGCGATCGTCAAAGTTTGTTGACGGACAGGCCGTATTGGGGACGCCATACTTTAGCGAAATGATCAGTGCAAAAAGAAAAACATGACTATTGCGAAAAAAAGCTATGAATGCACGTGATGATGTTCACAGGATTCTCGGAAGTTGGCAGTCGCTGGGCGTCTACCCCGACTCCGCCTCAGTAATCTTGATCGAGCCTAACTCTCCTTTCACACAATCGCGGGAAACTGAAAGTGTTTTCAACCGCGCATAATGGGACAGTAGCAGTGGATATTCATAGGTATTTTGTGAGTAGGTACAGTCGAACTGACAAAGATGTAGATATGCCAGATAAAGAAGTAGATAGCAGAAACTGTCATACAGTACCGCGGAAGACACTGTCAAATAAAATGAAGACGAGATTGTTTTCATATTCCTCGATCGTGCCCAGCAC